AAAACGTGCATACACACCGGCCCTTTGTGGATAAGATTGCCCACCCCTGTTCTAGAAGATGGATGAATATTTTATTATGAACATTAGATAATGATATTAATACCTCAGATGTCTTGATTGTTATTAAAACAAATATGTGGGCATGCATGTTGTATTTAGGAATTGGTACAGTATATAGAGTCATCCAAGTTCAAACTGGTTTTATTAACTGTTACGCAGTAGTTGTTTGTTAAGTGAGAGTAAGATTACGGTGAGTGACTGGGTGGTAAAACAAAAACAAAAAAAGCTTTTTTGTGGTTCTGTTCAGCTTTGGGTGATTAGTTAACGCGGAGTTTTGTAAGATGTATGTTTTGTTTGCTTGACAGTATTTTGGGCAGATTATGTTTTTTGACATCCCGTTCCCTAAAAGGCTTACCACAATAGGCCACAGTTATTATTAGTAACGTAGAAGTATTGTGATGGAACGCAAAAGTATTGCTAGAGAACACTGAACTATTTCAAAAAATATTTTACCACCCTGCTCGAATGGGTTAATTACAGTTTGAATAAGAATTTTTCATATCATGTTTGAACGAATGTTCAAATATTGGCTAAAAAGTACATACCTAACACGAAGTAGTGCCTTCTCAAATAGGGATATAAAAGTGAAATTGATGATGAAATGTTAGAACATCCTGTACTCCCTAATGACATTTATCTGTAATGTTTTGCCATTTTACATCATTTAAAGTCCCAGGCTGTGTTTTATTTTAAAAGAAGTTTCCTATTACAACATTGTTAGCCATTTAGCTCATTTTAACAAAATATCACCAGACATTTAATACAACATCACCTGACATTCCCTGGTAAAGTGGCTTCTATGCACAAACTGCGACATAATATGTATGTAACTTAATACGACCCATTAATTTAATTGTTTAAAAGTTAGGTACAGTGTCATTATGTGGTTTGACTACATTTCTAAAGAAAAGAAAATATATACAAAATAACTCCCCATATTTAATCAGAAAACATGTTGGTTTTCCTTATTTGGAGAGGTTTGCTGTCTTTGGAAATATTTGCGATATTCACCTAATCTGCTCAAGGAGAATTACACAGGAAGCTAACTCTACATTTCACAGGGAAAAGTGCAGAGAAAGACAAGGGAAAAGGAGGAGAGGAGAACTGTCTCCAAAACGAGTGTCTCTGAGGAGCGTGAGGAGAGAGGAGTAACCTCCAAAATGAATGTGTCTAAGGAGCGTGAGGAGAGAGGAGCAGCCTCCAAAATGAGTGTCTCTGAGGAGCGTGAGGAGAGGGGAATATCTTATGACAGGTAAAAATTAATTCCTAATGATTGTATATGTGTGACATAGTCTACTTCAAATTAATTACAAAGAAATAAATAAAATGCTGCTCTTGCTGAATTCATGCTGGCCTTTGAATTTCCTGCCCAAACATTTCTGTTACCTGTGCACCATCTTTGCCCTGTAAAGATAAGCAGGAGAAAGTTGTCTATTATGCATTTTAAAGTAAAGCCATAGCAATGAAAATATTTTCATTGTAATATGGAGATGAGGTTAATTAGAAGTTTGCTGTCTATGTTCAAAACACAGGGTGCAGCAGAAGGAAAACGTAGAGACTCAAAGCTATCTGTCAGTGAAGTCTGATAGGTCAGAGCACAGAATAATAACCTTCAGTGAGCAGGATTCGCCTGATACAAGGTAATATTTTTTATTCAGGATCTGAGATTGAGCAGCATAGTTTACTTTTTTGGGTGGCATATTAGCACACAACAGTTATGTGACTCTTATTTTTCTCCTATGTTGGTTGAGCTAATTTTCTACCTGGTCAATGTTTGTAGATGCTGGAATGAAACCCCATGAACGTGAACCTGTTATTCTATGGTCCATCTTCATGTTTTCTATCTGAAAATGATGTTTTTCATGTTCTGTCCCCAGGGTCCAGCAGTCAAGCTGTCTGCAGAAGAATGACGAGTTTTTCAACTTCATATACAAACTGAAGGCATACGATGTTTTATATTTTTTCAATTTTCAAGTTCTACAAATAGAAAAGCCTTAAACATACTCAATTTGCACCCATGAAACCATAATATAATAATGAAATGTGTTGAAGAAAAAAAAAACATATGTGAATACCTTTAAGTCGAGTAAACCCGGTTGGGAACAGATTACAGCCCATTGTTGATCCCCAAACAGTTGAATATTTCTTGCAATCTCTCATGATTCAGGCCAGTTTTGGGTCCATTATGTTAATTCAGAACCATCTGTCTGTTCTAAGCCACAGCGAAAATATGGTGATTTGTACTGTATGTGGTTGGTTGTATTCCAATGTTAAGTGTATATAACCCACATCTTGAAATTTCGTACTATAGTTTCATAAAAGTGGATCACTACACTACTAATATTTTTTACAATTTATAGTTTGATCTTTGTTTCCATAACTGCATGTTAGACTTCAGAACAGAATAACTGTATAAAATATATAAACTTTTTGTATGTATTCAATTTACTTCCTATAGGATATTATGAGATTTGAACAGGATGAACTGAAAGAATTCAGTAGGCTTTTAAAACAGGATTACCCAGAAATCAGTGCAGGCCAGCTGGTGGACTGTGACACCCTGGTTGTTCTTAAGAAGATGGTGGAGAGCTGTGGTGAAGAGAGGGCTCTGGAGATCACACAGCGCATCCTGAGGGACATGGACATGAAGGACGTCAAAGAGACAGAGGACAAGTGTAAGAGTTTGTTTTGTCTTTGGACAACAGCTGAAGGATTTAACGCTAAAAATGGCAAAATATCTATGCAGCTAAACTTTTGATGCCTGTATTACTGTACATGTCGATCTTATACATAGAATAAACTCATGGCTTTTGCTTAAAATGGAGATTAAGACAGGAACTGAATTCATGGCCACTAGGTTTTCCATAGAAATCTAAATATCAGCAGATTTAATTTCGCCTCCCTAATTAAATTATTGGTAAAGGGATTTAAATTTTCACTCTGAACACCATACATTATAAATCATTGTGCAAAACTTACTACAGCTGTCTTGTGATTTTTGAAAATGCACAGTGAAATGTTCTTGAACTTACAGTTGTTTGTTCTTGCAGTGCATTATATAAGAACATGTCAAATGAAAATGAAAGTCAAGTTGAAAAAAAAATATGAACACATACTTGAGGGGATTGCTAGTCAAGGAAATCGAACACTCTTGAGGAGCGTCTATACAGAAGTTCACATTTCAAAATATGGGAATAAAGAGACCAAAAATGACGGCAATGAAATGAATGAAGTGGAGATTTTAGCCAGAGCACAAACTGCAAAGCAGATTACAATCAAATGCAATGACATTTTTAAACCTCTAAGTGGACAAAGTAATCCCATCAGAATTGTATTGACAAAGGGGATTGCTGGGATTGGAAAAACAGTCTCAGTTCAGAAATTCATCGTTGACTGGGCTGATGGAGAAGCAAATGAAGATGTAATTTTTGTGTTTCCTCTTCACTTTCGGGATCTTAACCTTGAGAGAGATAGAGAATACAGTCTGATGCAACTTCTTCAAAAGTACTTTCCAGAGTTAAAGGAGCTTAGTACTGAATTTTATATGTTTAAAGTTTTATTCATCTTCGATGGACTAGATGAGTGTCAGTTTCCTCTTAATTTCCAGACAAATGACTTTTGCTCTGATTTAACAAAGGATGTATTGCTGGATGTATTGCTGACCAACCTCATTAAGGGGAATCTGCTTCCGTCTGCTCTCATCTGGATAACCTCCCGACCAGCGGCAGCCAAGCAGATCCCTCATGAATATGTAGACCAAGTGACAGAGATAAATGGATTCAGTGACGCCCAGAAGCAGGAATATTTCAAAAAGAGGTTCAGGGATCACAAACAGGTTGAAAAGGTCATGTCACACCTGAAAAATTTAAAAATCCTTGATGTTTTGTGTCACATACCAGTCTTTTGCTGGATTTCAGCTACTGTCCTTGAGCGAATGTCGAGTGATGAAGGCTGCAGCGGAATCCCCACAACTTTGGCGCAAATGTACATACACTTCCTGCTCATTCAGATAAACATGAAGAAACAGAAGTTTCAAGGAATCCATGAGGCAACCCCAATGGAGCTGTTAGAAGCTGAAAAACGGTTCATTCTGAAACTGGGAGAACTGGCATTCAAACAACTGAAAAAGGAGCAGTCATTATTTTACGAAGACAACCTGAAAGAGTGCGGTATTGATGTCACTGAGGCCTCATTGCTCTCTGGGTTGTGTACAGAGATCTTTCCTGGGGAAGATGTGGAGTCTCCGGGGAGAGTGTTCAGCTTTGTGCACCTGAGCGTTCAGGAGTTTATGGCTGCTCTATATGTGTTTGAGTGTTTTACAAACAGAAATAAGAACTTACTTCACCAATATAAATCCAGCAAGGCCAAACTAATGATTACTGACCTACACAAGAGTGCAGTAGATCAGGCCTTGAAGAGTCGGAATGGACACCTGGACCTCTTCCTCCGCTTCCTTCTTGCCATGTCAATAGACTCCAACCAGATACTCCTACGAGGCCTCCTGCCAGTAACAGAGAACAGCTCACAGAGTCTTGAGGAAACAATCACATACATACTGGAGAAGATAAGAGGGGATCTTATTCCAGAAAAAGCTGTCAATCTCTTCTTCTGTTTGAAGGAAATGAACTACAGATTTCTAGTGGAAGAACTCAAAAGATATCGGGACTCGCATTCAGACGCAGAACTGTCTCCTGCAGAATGGTCAGCCATTGTGGTTTTGTTGCTGATATCAGAGAATGTGCAGGAAGAGTTTGATTTGAAGAAATACATCAGATCAGAATTTCCATTACTAATTCTTGTGCCAGTGGTGCAACTCTACAAAATCGCTCTGTAAGTATCACCAGTACGGCGAAAGTTAATATCATACTCCATACCATACCTGAACTACATGTCATGCTGAACGTTCCTACAGATGATTCATGTCTCTCAATAATATAAGCACAGGACTTTGTTGACTGAAAAAACACCTAAAATGAAGTAGTAACCAAAACAACGACAATAATAATAACAATAATAATAATTTTAAATAAAGCAGCATTCTGGGATAGTATTGTGGTTTGAATCTTGCTGAAAGTTTTAAACATACTTTTTCTATATGTTGTAAGCAAGTGTATAATTATTTTTAGACTAAAATTGTAAATTTATGTGAAAGAGATGTTTAGAAAAAGAGTATTATATTTCTACGATATTCATGGTTTATGTAACATATTCTCTTCAGGCTGGACCAGTGTAACCTCACAGAGAAAAGCTGTAAAGCGATGGCCTCCACTATCACTTCAGAGTCATCACTTCTGAGAAAGTTAGATCTGAGCAACAATGACCTCCAGGATTCAGGAGTGAAGCTACTTTCTGAGGGACTGAGGAATCCACACTGTAAACTGGAGAGCCTGAGGTATGTTCTTACTGATGTGGACACTGAGGATGGAATTTCTGGAAACATGATGTGAATTATTTTCAGTATGATTTAATGGAGATGTTACAATCAGCTATGCTTTGATCTTATGTAGTTATCGTTGCTCTGGTCATAAAGCAGCAGGTATTCAATCAGTTCATCATGATTTTAATTATTAAATTGAAAATGAGACAAACACATGCTGTTCTCAGGCTGAAACAGTGCAACCTGTCAGAGGAATGCTGTGAGGCCTTGGCCTCAGTTCTCAACTCAGACTCCTCACAGCTGAGAGAGCTGGATCTGAGTTACAACAACCTGAAGGATTCAGGAGTGAAGCTGCTGTCTGATGGACTCGGAAATCCAGGCTGTAAACTGGAGATACTGAGGTGACTATTATTCCAAAAGCAGTAACAATATAGTCAGAATTAACTCACTCAAGGAATTTCGTTGCAGCCTAAGGTGTCTGTCAAGTTAGACAGACAATGTACAGACAGGAAATGTATCATTTACAGACAACATGCAATATACAAGCCATATACAAATTAATTACAAGACAAGTGATATAAAAAAGCAGCAATAATGAGTATTACATATGGGAATGAGTACAATACAGTACTTGTAGATATGAGGCAGGGTGTAAAGGCAAGAGTAGCTGCGACACAGCAGATGATGATAACTAATCAAGATGTTAGCTCTCCACAATAATTTAAATAACCCTCTGGATTCTTGAAATTACATATGACAGATCACAAAGTCAGTTTAGTGTTTTGTATTCACAACATACAATGGGAGTTTATGAATGACATCTGATTGGCTCTGCAGGCTGTCGGGCTGTCAAGTCACAGAGGCAGGTTGTGCTTCTCTGGCTTCAGCTTTGCGTTCGAACCCTTCACACCTGAAAGAACTGGATCTGAGCTACAATCACCCAGGAGAGTCAGGAGTGAAGAGGCTCTCTGGTTTGCTGCAGCTTTCTTGCATCAAACTGGAGAAACTCCAGTATGTAGAATGTGTTTGCTTAGTCAATCCTACATACAGTTTTTGTTGCTTCCAAACTATCAAAAAATGCTCTGTATCTTTGCAAGCCCAATGGTGGATTGGCATCCACTGTAGAATGCCCCCTGTCTGGTACCTTGTGCCAAGATAGGACTAAGGCTTACCATCACCCTACATTATTTAACAGTGAATATCTTCTATCAACAAAACTTCACAATCAATAATGATTTTGGTATATAAATACTGCAGCAGGTATACTCATGGTGAGAAGGCATTTCAAATTAATTTTATACCCATATTAGATTGATCTGGTGTAATCTTAAAGAGGAACCCTGCAAAGATTTGGCCTCAGTTCTCAGTTCAGAATCCTCACACCTGAGAGAGCTGGATCTGAGTGACAATGACCTGCAGGATTCAGGAGTGAAGCTGCTCGCTGCTGGACTGAGGAATCCACACTGTAAACTGGAGATACTGAGGTCAGTACTGTTATGGAACTATAACTGTAAAGTGGAGATACTGAGGTTATTATTGTTAGGGACCTATAACTGCAAAGTGGAGATACTGAGGTTAGTAGTACTGAGGGATTCACATATTAATATGAATACATTTATGTTGCAGATGTTAAAATTAAGTGTGGAATATTTTTGGTTTCTTTGCCTGTCTGTCTGCAGGTTGTCAGGCTGTCAAGTCACAGAAGCAGGTTTTGAGTGTCTGGCTTCAGCTCTGCATGCAAACCCCTCACATCTGAGAGAGCTGGATCTGACCTACAATTACCCAGAAGACTCAGGAGTGAGACTGCTCTCTGCTGGCCTGGAGGACCCCAGGTGGAAACTGGAGAAACTACAGTATGTACTATGTACTTTCTAATTACTCTTTTGTTATATAACTGGATAAGATGTGTAAACTTTTGTGAGATTAACAGAAAAGCAGACTGTGATAGCATGACAGCAGTGAAGCTCAATTTGTGTTTCTTCTGCTTCTTCAATAGCATGGATTATGGTGGAGAATCCAGGATCAGATCAGGACCAAGAAAATGTAAGTCTGATGAAATCGGTTTCAGAATCTCTTTACTTCAGAATCCTTCCCCCTTTCTTCATCACTCTATTCAGGAGTTTTTCCTTTATTATCCATACTTTTTAAAATAATCATTATTTAACTGAAACTACCACGGCAATGTAAATTAAACCATCCACTGACCCAATAACAGAACCCAGTTGGGCCACTGAAGGTATTACATGCATGTAGGTTACCCCCAACATTTCTGAAAAATTAAACTTTAATTTAAACTGAATTATTTCTGACTTCAAAACATCTGAGGTTTTCCTTTTAGGAGACATGGATATAATCACCGTAATTTAGCATTATACTGATTACTTCTAGACGTTTCTCACTCTTAATTAAACTCTTAATCCATCCATCCATCCATTTTCAGTAACTTCTTGTTTTCGTTTTGTTTTATTTTGTTATTAAAGTGGTACGGTACAAATTGTGTGTTTATATATGTGCAGAAACAGAAAATCATTATAACCCGAAGGTTAAATAATATGTGTTTAATGTTTTAATGGGATTGTTTTTCCATCCATTTTCTGTAACTGCTTGTCCTATTCAGGGTTCTGGGGGTCCAGAGCCTATTCTGGAGGTTGTGGGTGCAAAGCAGGGAACAACCCAGGAGAGGGCGCCAACCAACCACTAACTCATTCATTCTAGACTGATGTTGCCCAGGATTCACTTTGATCGTTTTGAAATCAGTTTGGTCTTGGTTGAGGGACTGTAGGGCAGCTGCAGACTGGAACTATGTCAGCATTAGTCAGTTCAGCTGAGGGACTGACCACATAACACAACTGTATCAAGCACAGAAGTCAATAAAAGGAGTCAGAGAAACACAGATCCAGTAGAAGACATATGTACAAGTTTGACAGAGCACTTTTTACAGATCACATGATACTATGCAGGGGCTTTAGCTACTGAGTGGCTTCCCATCTATCCTGTGGATGCCCGTTAAATAACCCACCAATGAAAGAGTTCCATTGTATATAGTAATAACCTGATCAAGAACCCAGTGTGAATACTTACTTTACAGTAGATTTAGCGATGGAACAAGAATGAGCCATCCGCCCATCTTTCCTCTGGGTTCTCTGGTTTTCCCTCCAGCATAGGACAAGCAGGAATGAAAAATAGATGGATGGGTATGTTTTGGGTAACTCTATTTTTGTGTGTTTAATGGGCAGCAGTGTGGTAGTAATTATGGCATTTTTCATTCTTCTTTTTCACTCCAGATGCTTGCCAGGTCACACTGGACCCCGACACAGCGCACAGACAGCTATCTCTGTCTGAGAAGAACAGGATGGTCACATATACATTACAGGAGCAGCCATGTTCAGAGCACCCTGACAGATTTAACTTCTGGTTCCAAGTTTTGTGCAAAGAGGGTCTGTCTGGTCGCTGCTACTGGGAGGCTGAGTGGGGGGGAGAATTTGGAGCTGGGATTGGAGTGGCGTATAAAGGAATCAGTAGGAAAGGAATGGGTTATGACTGTGTGTTTGGAGGAAATCACCTTTCATGGGCTTTACGTTGCCATGCAGGGAAGGATTTTCTTGCCAGCCACAATAAGGCGAACACTTGCATTTCCGTAACCCCCTCACCCAAAGTCGGAGTGTATTTAGACTGGCCGGCTGGTACTTTATCCTTTTACAAAGTCTCCTCTAATGAATTGACCCTCCTGTACAGATTTTCCTCTACATTCACTAAGCCCCTATATCCAGGGTTTTGGATTTCCAATACAGGATCATCAGTGTCCCTCTGCCAGATGGACTAAAGTAATCTAAGTCAGTCTTGAGCATTCATATGAACAAGCTGATGTGAAATAATTTAAAACAGGGTTTAAATATAGACAGAGCCAGACAGAGCCCAGCTTTTCCTCATCATGTCCAAATCGCACCTTACCTGAGCACAGCTCTACCTCCTTCAACGTTAATATTAAACTTTAATGTCCAAATTTAGTAAATGATCCACATTGAGTGCTTTAATAAAATGTCAGTTTTTCACTAAAATCATGTTTTTCATCAGCTTTAATATTAAGTTTCATTAATAACTCTAACCTAATATTCATTTCTCAAGCAAATGAGATACTCCAGCATGATGCCTTGAATTCTGACCCATGTTTTTATATTTTGACTTATTTCACTTACCGTACTGCTGCCCAAACTTGACTTACTAGCTGGACTCTGATAGAGGTACAACATGTGTAAAAAGAAATTTATGAATAACTTTTTATGCATTTTCAAGTTTCATTTACATGCTATGTTTTAAAAAACAATCAATAAATATTTAACCATGCAATATACAGTACCCATATGAGATAAAAATAACTTTTTAATCACAGTTTTTAGTTTATTTTGCATTGCTTTAAAGTGGAAGAACAACATTCCAACAAATTAAAATACTGCATTGTTAAAATTGTGATCATAAATATATATATTTACTAATAAACTAATATAGAGAGTGGCTCATTTAGACCCCGCCCCCCTGCCCTGTACCTCACACTACTGTATCTCTATAAACTGCCAGTAACTCTGGGAGCTTATAGCTTATAATTTAGCAGTTTGTTTGCCAGGCTGTGCTGATTATTACGCGTTTAAACTGTATCACTGTATTAGAACCCAAGTACATGCCTAAGTAGGGTTAGTTTAGACCAGGGGTCACCAACATGGTGCCTGCGGGCACCAGGATGCTCCCAAGAACCACATAAGTAGCCCACGGACCTGTTCTAAAAATAGCACAACTCACCAGTGAGCAGCTTCTAAAGTTTAATTTTATCCTGTTGCCATTCGTCTTTAATCACATTTGCATTTATATAGATTTGAAAATGACAATATCTAAAAAAAAGCATTTAAAACATGTTTAATATACATGAAGTTTAGATAAGTTTAGGTAAACGAGTTTAAAGTTGAATATTGATATTATGTTTCCCACCTTGTTAAGTCATTGTTGATGAAATCATAAAAATGATCAGTGTCTTCACATAGATGAGTATCATTAACCATTAATAATAATATATAACTAAAGGTAAACAGAGCAAATTTGTTATTTAAGAAAAGTGTATCAGACTGGTAGCCCTTCGTATGGCTTAGTACCTGTGAAGTAGCTCTCAGTTTAGACAATGAGAATCTATTTGTAACTGAGTGAGCAAATCACAGCCTGAACTTTGTATGAAACTTGTATTATATATATATATATA